ATTATATGCAAGCCTGGGTTTCGCGCGGATTTCAAAAACGAGCGCCCCGAAATCACGTGGGAACGTCTGGTTTCGCAGCGCGGGTTTTCAGACAAACTTGCGCCCGCGCCCTTGCGGATCCTTGAGAAAACTGTATTCGACATTGTTCCTGGCATTCTGCCAAATTGGCTTCTGGCGCCGCGTGCCGGAATCATTCGCGCGCCCTAGCGCGCGCGCCACGGGGGCGCGCTCCGTGCCAAACGAATTCCACGCGGGCCACTCTCGCGCGTCGGCCGCGCGCGCATGTCGAACTCTTTTCAAAACCTTCAGCGCCGACGCGAGGGCGTCGTCATCGTCGTCGGCGCGAGCAACATCGGCGCCCGCACTGGCCGCGCCGTCGCCGTCGTCAACGTCGCCAACAGCATCGCTATTATCATCGTCGTGTCTGCCGTTGTCGACGTTGCCATGATGCCGCGCCCGCCCAAATCGCCGACTCGCTCTGATGTGTCCGCTGGGGTGCGCCCAGCGGTCAGCGCCGCCGCGGCCGCGTCGGTCGCGCCAAACCAGCTGGCCGCTGCGCGCGCGTGTTTGGGTTGACGCGGCCGCAGAGATGCACCGGCCAACGCCGGGCACTCGGAATCGCCGCTGCATGGGTTCTGAAAGCCAAAAGGCGGATGGTTTTTGCAAGAGCGTGACATGTGTCAGTTCGTTTGTGAAAATCTATTGCACCATGCAGGTGGTGCCGCGCGTGCCGCGCCACGCATGCTGCGCCGCATTTATGGCGCATCGTAGACTGTTCCACCATAGATAACACACTATCTGTTGCACCACATACGTTGCATAACATAAGCTGCGCCACGTGTATTGCACACTTTGTAGGTATGCATGTATTTATGTACGTATGCATGTATTTATGTGTGTATATGTACATCTAGAATTATACTTTTATCGCGCATTTTTTAGCACTGCGTAGGTTGCACCACGTATTTTTGGACCAAGTAGATTGAGCCGCATACGTTGCTCCAAATCTGTTGCATCACATATCTTATCCTGTCCCAGAATTATTTGGATCTACTTCCCCCCTCTGGATTTTCCCATACTGGGATCTGCGCCCCGTCTTTTCGTATTGCAGTTTACACATGGATCGTCCGCACCGTCCATCTGAAATATGAACTCGCACCATCCCGGGCAAGCCGGAGTTCGCCCCCTTTCATTTTCTGTTGAAAATGCGATGCGCGCGCATTCTTCTAGCAGCATCGTAAGTTTTCAACTTTCCCGCGCAACAGACGGGGCGAAGCTCGCGCGCGCGCCGATGCGAGAGCATGCCCGAATCCTTCGAAACTCTTTTGGTCCCGTAAGGACTTCAAAATCGAGTGTCTCAAACACATGTAGAACACAAATGGCTTCGCAACGAGAGGTTTCAAAAAGCATGCGCTTTCGCTCGTGCGAAGTCTCAGAAAACCATGCGTGTTTCAACCTTCTCTTTCAAATCTACATCAAACGTGCCTCTCGCGCGGGCATGTCGAAATCGGTCGAAGGCCTTTGCGCGAGTGCTGTCGCGAGAACCCCTTGCAGCAAAAGGGACGAAGTGTACGCGCGCGCGTTGTCGCGCGCGCATGCCAAACTTTTAAAACAAGTGTAGATGTCGTAGGGGTTTCAACATCGAGTGACCCGAACACATATAGAACAACCAATGGTTTCGAAGCAAGGGTTTTCAAACCAAGCCTGCGCGCGCTCATGCAGATTCTGAAGGCATCCACGCGCATTCAAGATTTCGTAAAACTTGACCAGGCCAGCGTCTCGCGCCGCATGTCGAAATCATTCGAACGCCCTTGCGCGCGTGCAGGGGGGCATGGTCCGTGTCAAATAATACCATGCGGGTCGCGCTCGCGCGTCGGCCGCGCGCGCGCGTCGAACTCCTTCCAAAACCTTCGTCGCCGACGCGAGGACGTCGTCATCGTCATCGGCGGGCGTGATCAGCATCGGCGCCGTCATTGGACTTGCCGTCGTCGTCGCCACCATCGTCACCATCATCGCTACTATCATCATGGTGTCTACCATGGTCGGCGTCGCCATGGTACCGCGCCCGCCCGCGCTTCCGACTTGCACTGAAGTGCCCGCCGGGAAGTGCCCGACGGTCAGCGCCGCCGCGGCCGCGTCGTTCGCGCCGCACTAGCTGGCCGCTGTGCGCGCGCGCATGCGCGTGCTAGCGCGGCCGCAGAAATGCAGCGGCCAACGCCGAGCGCTCATCGCAATCGTCGCCGCTCGAGTTTTGCAAACCAAGTTGCGGGTGGGTGGGCGGGGTGATTGCGCGAGCAGTGAATTTGACAACTGCGAGTTACACAAGTGATTCTCTCTTCTGAGAGAAGAATAAACTCGACCCCCCCTCCCCCAGAGTTAACGGCGCGCCTTGTCGTGTTGCAACTTGCATATGGTTCTGCCCCATCGTCCATTCTAATATGAATTTGCACTATCCCAGCCAGGCCGGTATCGCCGCCCCCGCCCTCTTTTGCAACAGATGCGATGCGCGCGCACTTCTTCATCCAATCAAAGCAAATTTCAATAATCTTTTTTTCGTTAAAATGCAACAAAGTCACCGCGCGCGCGTCCATGCCAACATCGTATCAGACACAATGTGTTTGTAAGCGTTGCAGCATACAAACCCAAAACACCCAAGGTTTTTGCAACATTTTGCAGATTTCCTGTCCGCGCGCTCATGCTAAAATCATACAACAACCATTGGATTCTTATGAAGTCTGCCAAATCCAGCGATTTCGTGCCACCGCGCGGTGCACCCGCGATGCTCTTGTCATGTGCCGAGGGCGCGAATCCCTTGCAAAAAACACCACGCGGGCCACATGCGCGCACCGCCGCGCGCGCATGATCAGTCCGACGGACTGAACTTTCGCGCGCGCGGATTTCTTTTTCAATCTTGTCAACATCACCGCGATCACCTGCCTCATCGACAGATGGACATCAGCATCGTCAGCGTGTTTGCCATTATTGGCGCCGTTATCGTTCGCGCCGTCGCCCTCTTGAACATCGTCGTCGCTGGGGCCATCTCCGTCATTGTCGCAGACGTTGCCGACGTCATCTTGTCATCGCGCACGTCCGAGTATCGTCGGTAAGCCCACCTTCATCATCGACTCGCGGTGACGAGCATCGGCAGTGAGGACGTTATCATCGATGTCGTCATCGGTGGCGCCGCCGTCCCCCGCATCATCAGTTTTTGCCAAGCAAGTTGCGGATGGGGTGGGATGTTTGTGCGAGCAGTGGAGATGACGACTTCCAGTTCATCAAAGTGGATGTCACAACATATATTGCATCACGTAGATTGCACGCCGTATATTGCACATCGTAGGCGAAAAAGCACATACGTTGCACCACATCTAGTGCACAACATCGATTGCACCACATTTGTTGCTTCACATTGGTTGCGCTTCATATAATTAGCTGTCTAAAAGAAGAATAGACTCGACCCCCCCCGGAGTTAACGATCCCCCTTGTCGTATTGCAGTTTACATATGATTCTGCCCCCTGCTAAATTTGAATCCATACTATCCCAACCAGGCCGGTATCGCCCCCCCCCGCCATCCTTTGCAAAGGAATGCGATGCGCGCGCGCTCGTTTATCACAATTCAGAAGTTTTCAAGAATCCCTTGCAAAAGCTTGGACGCAGTGCGCAGGCGCGCGTCGTCGCGCGCGCATGCCGAAATCCTTCAAAACCTTGGGTATCGGAAGGAATTCGAAATTGAGTTTCCAAAAGACATGCAAACATACAGGGTTTCGCAACACTGGTTCTCTAAAAAAAACTTGCACGCGCGCTCTTGCGACATCTTAGAAAACCATGCGCTTTTCAATATTTTGAAAACGTACTACCAAACGGGCTTCGCGCGCGCATTTCGAAATCGTTTGAACGCATTTGCGCGCGTGCCGTCGCGAGAATCCTCTGCAACAGATGGGACGACATGCGCGCGCGCGTCGTCGCGCGCGCATGCCAAAATCCTTCAACAACCTCCGGTTTCGGAGGGGTTTCAAAATCTAGTGCCCAAAAAACATTCGAACACACAGGGTTTCGCAACACGGATTTTCAACAAAAGCGTGCGCGCGCGCTCTTGCGTCGTCGTCGTCGTCGTCGTCGCCGTCCTCCCTCCTCCCTCGTCGTTGTCGTCGTCGTCAACGTCGTCGTCCTATGTCTTTCCTCGTCGTCGTCGTCGTCCTATTTGGCGTTGTCGTCGTTTCCGTCGTCGTTGTCGCCGTGGTCGTCCTTCCTTCTCCCTCGTCGTCGTCGTCGTCGTCGTCGTCCGTCGTCGGCATCTCGTCGTCGTCCCTCCTATTTCGTCGTCGTCGTCGTTGTCCTCTTCCCTCCTCCCTCGTCGTTGTCGTCGTCGGCGTCCTCCCTCCTCCGTCGTCGTCGGCGTCGTCTTCGTTGGCGGCGACGTCGTCGTCGTCGTCGTCTTCGTCGTCGGCGTCGTCGTCGTCGCCGTCGTCGTCGTCGTGGTTGGTGTCGTCGTCGTCCTTCGTCGGCGTCGCCGTCGTCGTCGTCGGCGTTGTCGTCGTCGTTGTCGTCGGCGTCGGCGTCGGCGTCGTCGTCGTCGTTGTCGTCGTCGTCGGTGTCGCCGTCGTCGTCGTCGTCGTCGTCGTCGCCGTCGTCGTCGTTGCCGTCGTCGAAGGCGTCGGAGACGTCGTCGGTGTCGTCGTAGTCGTCGTCGTCGTCGTCGTCGTCGTCGTCGTCGTCGTCGTCGTTGTCGCTGTCGTCGTCGGCGTCGCTGTCGGTGCCAAGTGCAATTTGGTATCCACCGTCACGGTCTTAAGAAGTCTTGCGACCAAGTCGCGGGTGGGAGGGTGGGATGTTTGCATGAGCAGTGAAGAGGACAGCTTCAAGACAGTCGAAGTGAATTGCCCCACGTAGATTGCACCACATAGATAACACTACGTAGTTCGATAGAAGCACACCGTTTGGGGTCTACGTTGGCTGACACCTTCTTCCCCGAAGACATCTTCGGTGCCTCCGCCCAAAGGGGCCCTTCACGGCGCCGCCCACCGCGATGTTCTCGCCGCCGAAGGCCGCCGGCGACGTCCCCTTCAGCAAGGGTGCCGTCCCGGGCAGCATGGGAACCCCCATGGTTCTTTGCCTTCTTTTGTTTTTGGGGTCGGCAGAGGAGGGGGAGGTCTTCCTTCCCACCCTCCTCCCTCCTCCCCCCTCCCTCCTCATGCCTCCTCCTGCCTCCTTTCCCTTCCGCCTCGGCCCGGGGGCACACGACTGGGCCCCCGCCACCGTCACCTGGGGGGACCCTCGGGCATTGGCGGTTCAAGCGTCTGGCTCCGTCTCGTGCCTGCGGGCGTCATCGCGAGGCCCAACGGCCTTGCCTGGCAAGCGTGCCCGCGTTGGCCAGAGGCTGCCTTCGACAATTGCCGACTCCGCGGCCCTGACCGAGTAGCCACACCCTGCTCAGCTCAGCGCCGTTCCCTCCAGCAGGCGGTCCAGGGCGAGAGACGGCGGGGGGACGGGGATGGGTGACAGGGGCCAGGTACTGCTAGAGGGGGGAGGGAGAGAGAGGCCGCGGAGCCAAGAGAAACATGAGAGCACGAGGAGGGAGGGGCGAGCTCCTCCTCCTCCTTGTCCTCGTCCTCGTTCTCCTCCTCCCCCTCCTCCTCCGACTCCCCTTCCCCCATTATTTCTCTTGCTCCCCCTCCTCTTTTCTCGTTTACGCTCTCCTTCTTGTTTCTTCCTTCATCCCCCCGTCCCCCCTCCTCCCCCTACTTGCCATGCCCCCCCCTCCCTCCCCGGCGCTGGAGGAGGACTCGACTCGACTCGACTCGACTCTGACTTGGGTCTAACATGTCATGACTCTTTGCGGCAGCTTGCACAATCACATCGTGCTACTCTTGAATACGTGGTAGCACACAGAAATTGCAATATAGGTCGTATCTTTGGATCTGTCATGGTAAGCTAGCCCTCACGCGAATAAAGATGTGCGGGCGCACAAACCGTGCGCTCTGGCGCTGCTGGCACCTTTAGCCCCGCAGGCAGCATGCCTTGGGGCCAGCGAGCACTCGTGCGAATCACCTGCTCCCCCCGCTTGCCTTCGATCGTAGGCCTCTAAGTAACCGCCAGTGAGAACGCCTTCAATCACAGCCGTCATTCGAGTAGGCATCCATGTAGAGCTGACCCGTCGCTGCTTCCACGGGACACGACAATGCCATCTTTGTTTAAGCCGAAACCATTCATTGACGCCCAGCCATAAACAGCCTCCCTGGCCCGCTTCACCCGTGTTTTTTCTCAACCACTCGGGCGAGGCCGCTCTCCGTATGTCGTATGCGAAGTCGTATGCGAAGTCGGCTAAGATTACTCGCTGCGGTTAGCTCTTCTCCTCGGTCTGCACGGCAGTCATGATCTGCGCGGCGTCAGTCATTTTGGAGGCTTCGTCATCCATGCTGTTTTAGTCTGGAACGGGCTCTTCTCAAACCTGTACTTGTTCGTGACCGTGAACGTGTTCAACAAGGACGTGAACGGGTTCACGAGGTTGTTGACACGGAGTTGGAACTTGAACAGGTTTAGCCTTTGCCCGAGCGGGTTCAGCTGTGACCTGAACGGGCTCATGTAGTTTTTGGGGCGGCTTGCCCAGGAAGTTGCACGGGCTCAGCCTGGACCTGAATCGGTTCGTGACCGGGAACGGGTTCGGTTGGGTCAGCGGGATCCTGAGCGGGGTCGGCCTGATCGTGAACGGGCCCGTCCGCCGGAGCGGGCTCCACTGGTGCCCGAGCTGGTGCCGCTGGAGCTCTGCCCGCTGCGTCCCGCTCCCCGCCCGGGCCGCTCGACGCGTCCGGCGGCGGGAGCCCGGGCGGCGGCGGCGGCGGCGGCGGCTTGGCCAGGCGCTCATCCGGGAGGTGCAGCGGCATCGTAGCGGGTAGTCACTAACGGGTACTTTGAATTTGTGCCGAAAGTTGCCGCTCTAGGGCCTCTTCCTGGCATTGCAGCGTTGCCCACATCGGGAAGGGTCGGGTGCGCTGGGCCACTGGCCAAAGTACGCATATTAGTGGAGTCCCTTTTGGAGGGGCGCTGAGAGGTGCATGCCCGCGAGCTGCGCTCTGCACGCTGCTGGGCACTGGAGGCAGCGCGGCGGCGTTTCAGCGACGTCATGGCGGTCGCACCTCGCAGGTGGCTTCTCGCCCCCAACTCCCAACTTCCACGAGAAATCAGGCCGCTTAGAGAAGGAGCGAGACTCGGGGATGCACCCCATGGGGGGCCAATCGGACGCACCACCTTATCGAGGATGGACGCCACCCTGTCCTATGTCCCCGAGCTGGGCCCCACATTTCTGGTTTCCATTCGAGAATCCCACGAAGCCTCGGATGGGGGTCGGCAGATCTCCCGGTTAACAGCTCGAGGACGGCGCGCTCCTCGTCCCGTGGTGTACCCCCCTCACCGCCATGTCATGATGCACGAGCCTCCTCCTTCTCCTCCTCCTCTTCTTCCGTAGCCATTTTGGCTCAAGAGCTTCCGAGCCTTCAGTGGCTCCTGGTGGCTGCGCGCGCCCGCCCGCGCGCGGGATCCTCTGCAATGGCGTCGCTTGCTGGTTCCTAGTGGCGCTCATCATCCACCTGTTCCTTTCCCACCTTTGTGTGGGCGCTGCTGCGGGCAGTACTTCTATGCCGAGCTGCAGATCATGGGTGGCCACCGCTGCTGCGGGTGCCCCGCTATCCGTCGCTCAACGTCGCCGCCGAGAGCGGGATGCCTGGTATGCTACTTCCCATAGTGCACCTGGGAAGGCATTCGTCGAATTGGACGTGGTCGACAGGGCTGACTTCAAACGCATGGCCCATGGCAAGGCCCTACACCGCCTGCTCGATGAGGATGGGCTCGCGCACGGACTGCCCCGTGCCGCTTCTGGCAAAATCGCTGCGCATCGTGCTCTCCGCCGCGGGACTCTTACTCCTGCTGGCCATGCGGCAGCGCGTTCGACCTTGGAGCTGGCGGACGCCGCCAAGCACCACCATCTTTCTCTTCAAGGCACAGCTGTCCATGCTGCGGAGCTCCTTGCTGGACGCCGAGTTCCTGCTGGGCATCGGGCCCGTGCTGGAGATCGGGACCGTGCTGGAGTTGGGGACCCTTCTGGGCTTCGAGACCGTGCTGGACGTCGGGACCCTGCGGGAGATCGTGATCGTCCTGGGCAATTGGACCATGATGCTGCTCCTCGCCCTCGCTGGGCTGATGCACCTCTTGACAGCGACGATGCCGATGGAGAGCGCGACCGAACCCCGCCTCGAGCGGGTGGCCAGGCCCTTGCCCATACGTTGGTGCCCCCCGCTGTCCCACCTCAAGAGGACAGTGTCCCTCCACGAGAGGAAGACCATGCAATCGACGCTCCAGCAGGTGATCTTTGTGCGGGTGTCCGTATGGAGGCCCCCGCCGACGCCGCTACGCCTTCCCTGGCGGCGTCTCTATCGGTTGATTTCCTCTTCTGGTGCATCGGCCAGCTCACGTACACGATGAATGAGCTCATCTGCATGATGGCCACGTCGCTCGCCGCACACAACGTGACCACCGCCTACTCCAACACCGACTTCATCACTGCACCTGGACAATGACTCTTTCCTGTCTGACCTCGACTTCGAGACCGAGCTCTGCATCTTCGAGGAGCGCGCTCGGCTCCCTGCTGGCGTTCCTGGCTGTGGTGCTGCCGTTCCGCATGCCGCTGATGTTCGGCCTGACGGGCTCGCGGAACCTCCTGGACCTCAAGATGCTCAACACTCTCTTCGTGAGACTCTTCCCGCTAATGGTTCTGCTGGTGGCGCCCCTCTCCCTGCTCTTGGTGACGTTGCCGACCGTCCTGGCTCAGGCTCTGCGGGTGGCTGTGATGCTCCTCCTGCTGCACGCGCTGTGCCTCCTGAAGCTCGTGTCGATCCTGGCCTTCACAACCGGCGTGCAGAGGATAGTGTTCCTCTGTTTCCTGATCGCGCTGAACCTCAACAGTCTCATGTGGGTGATGCGCCTGCCACTGTGGATGGTGATCGTCTGGTTGCTGCTCGCGCTCCTCACGGCGGTGGCGCTGCTGCTGTTGTCCCTGCCCTTCCTCATTGGCACCGTGCTCGTGCCACGCGCGACTTCTACTGCCTGAAGGTCCTCCCTGTGGGCCCGAGGATCTCGACTCCTACGGCATGCCGCTACCACCCGCGCTGTTCATTCGGCGATGACTGCAGCAACTCCCACCTGACAGAGCTGACCGACGAGGCTCTTGCTGCTGAGCATGCGCGCCTTTGCCGCCTCCAGCCCGAGTATGCCGACGCTCAGCCGCTGACCGTGGAGCTCTGGCTGGCTCGGGCTGCCGGCCGCACTGCCCCGGAGGTACACGCCTTGGCTGGGCTAGCCGCTGCTCCTGCGTTTGACGCTGGCGCCAGTGCACATGCTGTTCTCCAAACTGCTCCGCCATCAGTCACCAAGGTTGGGACTGACGACCTGTCTCTCAACATGTCGGGGCCACCGCATGAAGGTGGTGGACACCATGGTCCTCAGCCTCACTTGCATGGGGATGTGGAGCCTACTGGACTTCTGGGCCTTTCTGCTGACGATGGTGCTGCTGAGGGTCCTGCCGCTGCTGATCACCCTCTCCCTGAGCTTCTTCCTCCACCAGTCGATGCTGCTGGCGGGCTTTCTGTTCATCAGCTTCCTGCTGGGCTTCTGCCTCATGGGAGTTGCGCTGCTGCAGTTCCTGCCGATGCTGGTCATGCTCTCCCTGAGCATCCTCCTCCACCAGACGATGCTGCTGGCGCACTCGCTGTACCTCCACCCCTTGATGGGCTTCAGCCTCACGTCGACGGAGCTGCTGCAGGTCCTGCCGCTGCTGGTCACACTCAGCACACAGATGCGCCTCCTGCGGGACATCTTTCTCCACCTGACGGCGCTGGGCGGCCTCCCCCTGAAGGCGCTGCGCTGCTACTCCCTGGGCAAGGGCTTCATGGCGCAGACGCTGATGACCAAGGGTGTGATTTGGGTCCCTTCGCTGCCAGCACTTCGGGGCAGAGTGTGCGTGATACAGAAGTTGGTGTGCACCTTAATGGGCGTGTGATGCCTGGCGCACGCTTCTTTCGGCATAACGATCTACTGCAGCCCCGCTCTTGCAGCAAGGCTCTTCTCGCTCACGTCGACTTCCTTCTCGTGCGCGGCATCGCCGACCCGTGCGGCGTCATGGAGGCCGTCTCCTTCTACTCGGCGGGGGCTCCCCCCGCCATCGTCTCTGCCCCTTCGGGCGCGGATATCGACACAGACACACCGAACTTCACGTCCGATGAGGCGCTTACAGTGAACACGTTCTCGACCGAGGTCGATGTCACCACCCCCGACCGCTTCGCCATGCCCCTGAGAGGCTCAGAGGGTGCGCGGCGCGCGGCTTAGGCGGGAGGAGACTGCACCGTTGGACGCTCGCTCCTCCTCCTCTTCTTCCCCCTCCTCGTCCTCCTCCTCCTCCTCTTCCTCCTCCTCCTCCTCCTCCTCCTCCTCCGGGTGCTTGCGCGGTGAGGCGTGCTGATCTCCTGGGGCCCCGTGGCCCGCGGACGTCGGCGCTTGGCCGCGCAGGTGGCTGGAGGAGTGAGGCGGCGGGGGAGGGCGACGCAGCGAGCCACCCCTTCCCTTATCACTCCTCCTGGGCCTCCCTCGTGATCCTTCTCCTCTCCTCCTCCCTCTCCCTCACTCTCTTGAGCCTCCCCTATCCCCCCTCCTCGCCCCTCCTGCCCCCTCCTCTTCCGTCGCCCTCCTCCTCCTCCTCCTCCTCCTGGCCCCGGAGAGGTCTGAGGCATCTTCTAGGGGCTCCTCGCCCTCCTTCTCCGCCTCCCTCCCCCTCCTTGCTTCCTCCCCCTCCTCCTCCTCCTCCTCCTCCTTCTGCGCTCCTCTTTCCCTCCTCCTTCCCTCCTCCTGCGCTTCTCCTTCTCTCTTTGTCCTCCTTCTCGCCTCCTCCTCCTTCTCCTCCTCCTCCTCCTCCTCCTCCTCCTCCTCCTCCTCCTCTACTGATTATTACCATTGAAGTTGTCATTCGCATCTTCATTGTCATCGTCCTTCTTTCCTGTGAATGCGCTGCGTGAACTGCCCGGGGTTGCTTTGCGCCATTGCCCTCAGCTGGCATCTTGCGCGCTGCAATCACCGGAGGGGTGGCATACACGGGAAGCTCCTGGTGGCCCATCCGTAATCGCAGTGTGGACTCGCTGCACCTTGCCTTGACTTCTGCAGTCTGTCTGGTCCGATCAGGGCCAATCCGCCAATCGGAGTACAGTGCCGGTTTTAATACATGTTCCGCGTGCGGATCATGTATTAAAAAATGCAGGAATTTCGTATTGACAACAAAGCTGAGTTCATGCATACATTTATTCATCAATTAATCATGTATTACAAATCCTCTTTTTAAATTCTATGTAATAAAGAATGCCCTGTAGGGAGTAGTGGCGCGCTTCTCGCCCAAGTCCCAAACAATGTGCCCTTCGTTCTCTCCTCTTTTCCTCCTCTTCCCCTTCGCTGCCTCCTTCTCACCAGCCTCCTTCCCTCCTCCCGATTCCCAGTCAATCTTCGATCCCCCCTTGTCCTTATTCCCCCTCGTCTTCCTCCTTCGCAATTTGTTGAGGCATCGGCCTAATCGGTACTGGAGCTCCTCCTCCTCCTCCGCCCTCCTCCTCCGCCCTCCTCACCTTGCCTGCGTGGGCGTCTTCGGGAACGCGGCGGGGGGGAGGAAGGTGGATGATGGAGGATGTGACGGGAATGATGAGCAGGAAATGTACGAGAGAGGAGAAGGCGAAGGAAGAGGAGGAGGATTGTCAGGGTTGAGGGTTGAGGGTTGTCCTCCTCTTGCTCCTTGTCCTCCTCCCTCCTCTCTCCTGCATTCTCCCCTTCTCCGTGCGCACTACCCCGTACGCCTTCCTCATTCCTCCATCCCGCGCGCGCGGGAAAAAGAAAAGGAGAAGGAGGACGGAAGGAAGGATTAATGGATGGAAAGAAGTAGAAGGCTGCGGAGGAAAAAAAAATGATCAGGAGCAGGAGCAGACGCAGTAGGAAAAGGGATGTATTTTGTTGATGCTTTATGGGGGTTGTTTGGTGTTGTCGTTTTTTTTGTTATGGGTTTCCAGGCGGTTCTGTGAGACGGAGGAGGGGGAGACGGAGGAGGAGGAGACGGAGGACGAGGAGGAGTGAAATGATGTTAGCCAGCGTCGACCCCAAACAGTGATCTCTTGCAATATTGTGAAGGCCGTACGGCCGGTGCCGCCGACCTTGTATGCGAGGAGGACAGGGAGATGGAGCAGGTGGACGGGGGGCCTCTTGGGTCTTCCGGAGCCTCTTGGGGGGTCTCTTGGGAGCCTCCGGAGGGCCTCTTGGGTTTTCCTGGGGGCCTCTTGGGGGGCCTCTTGGGACCTCTTGGGGTCTCCTGGGAGGCTCTGGGGCCGAAGGTTCCAAAGCTTCTTTCGAGTCCTCTGTGCCTGTGCGCTCTGGGAGCCTTCTTGTGGGCCTCTTGGGCCGTCTTGGGGGCCTCTCGGGCTGTCTGGCGGCCCTCTTGGGTCGATTAGGGGCCCTCTTGGAGACTTCTGGGGCTATGTTGGGGCTATCGTGGAGGCCTCTTGGGCCGTCGGGGAGCGTCGGGAAGCCGAGAAGGCGAGAACACCAAAATCTATCAAACACAAGCGGAAATCGATGATTTTAACATCTTGGGGTGCTTTCGGAGTGCTCTTGGGGGCCTCGTGGAGCGTCTGGGAGGTGCCTTGGACCGTCTTGGGCGCCTCTGGGGCCGTCTTGGAGCCCTCTTGGGCCGTCTTGGGGCTCTTTTGGGGGCCTCTTGGCACTCCTGGGGCGGTCTTCGGGGCCTCTTGGAGCGTCGGAAGCTCGAAAAGTGGATAACCATAAAAGTATTGAAACATTTAAGGGGAATGCATGATTTCGGCCTCTCGGGGCATTCTGGGGAAGGCTCTTGGGGTTTTCTTCGGGCGCCTCCAAAGCTCCTTGGGCCGTCTTGGGGCCATCTTGGGCGTTTTGGACCGATCGTGCGGCGATTCGGAGCACCCTTGGACTGTCTTGGCTGCCTCTTTGGGCGCTCTTGGCCCGTCTTGGGCCCTCTTGGCCCCGAACGCATCCTGCGACAACACTCCGGTAGCCCCAGGGTCCGTAGCGATTTTGGCTCAAGGATGCTCTGATACGAAGTCCAACGAGTGCCGACACAGGAAAGCCTCAGGCACAAGCGCGCTTTGAAGCGGCAGAGATGGCAGGCGAACAATCGATGACATGTGAATCGGTTGCCAGCAGACCCTCCTGCCTGGAGCGAGAGTACCCGATGTTCGTGGTACCCATGCAGAGGATGTTTGAGAAGGATCGCTTCCAGATCCACGAGGACCTCCGCGACGAGGACAAGCTGGTCGAGCACAAAGAAGAGTCCGCCGACCCTGTGGTCTTCCTCTCGCAGACGTGGTTCTCAGCCTCCCACCCGGACCCGGACGGCGTCAAGCACGACCTGTGGAAGCGGATGCTGGAGAAGATGAAACAGTCGAAGCTGAGAGTCAATGTGCACTGGCTGACGGAACTGTTCTTCGGCACAAGCACGACCGGTCTTGAGGACAAACTGAAGGACGTCGCCGAGAAGGGCTTCTATTGGATGGACATCGAGTGCTGCCCTCAGCGCAACAAGGATAAAATGGCCATGGCATGCCGCTCCATCCCCCACTATGTGCAGAGGAGCTCCTTCTTCATCGTGCTGGTGCCGCAGTCCCTGCATGTGGAGAAGGGCGTTGTCGTCGATTGCCGCACGTGGGAGCGGCGCGGCTGGTGCCGCGGCGAGCGGGCCTTCAATGCCCTGTCCCAGAACCCGAAGCTCTGCATCGTCGCAGAGTCGACATCCTTCGTGTACGTCCAGATGTCGCGCGATTGGCTGTGGCGGCAGCCATGCACCGGCGACCTGACCGCGGAGTCGGATCGGGACGCGATCGGGAGTGCGCTCCTCAGCGCGCTGGACAGCTGCGCGGAGCACGCCCGCCAGAAGGGAGACATGACGAGATGCCGAATGACGCTCGCGATCAAGCCCGAGCAGCTGAGAGGCAGCGAGTCGGGCGTGATCCTGGAGCCCGACTTCAACGATTGGATGCAGCAGATGGGGTTCACGTCTCACGATGATGAGAAGGGCACCGGGTGGACGCCACTGCGGTTCGCCATGTACGCAGGGTTCCTCAACGTGGCCCGGGAGCTCGTGAAGAGGGGTGCAGACGTGAACGCCCCGCTCTCGGAGGGGAACCCTGGGTGGGGCTGGCACATGAAGGGCTGCACTATTCTGCACGGCCTGAGCTTCATGCGCGACGACCCTGTGGGCATGGAATTCCTCATCGAGCAGAAGGCGGACCCCACCAAGGCGTACCAGGACAACTTGGTTCCACACATCGTCGCCATGAACGCTGGCCGCGTCGGCAACGTCGACGTGCTCATGAAGCACGCCCCGAAGCTTGCACTCCATTGCGACGATCTCGGTAATAATTGCTGGCACGTTGCGCTGTTCGGAGGTCAGAGCGAGGCATTCAAGTACTTCACGGAGAAGTACCCAGACTATGTCGACAAAGATTCTTTCGCATTTGGATCGAACGTTGTTGGGTCAGCTGTTCTGGATGCTTGTGATTTAGAGTGCACCAAAGCGGTCCTTGCAATGAACCATGATGCCAATTTCAAACATCAGCCTGGCAAGCTGTCCCCCAAGATAAAGGTCGGCATGAGGATCAACCAGGCATTCAATTACATGTCGGGCAGCCCGTCGATGCTGAACGAGTACATGGCAAACATGGACTCAGCCACGCCGATCATGCTCGCCAGTTTCTTGGGGAACCTGCCCGTGGTCCAGGAGCTGCTGAAGGCCAGGGCGCACGTCGACGCGACCAACTCCTACAACCGCACGGCGCTCACCGTCGCGGCCATGCAGGGGCGAGTGGAGATCGTCAAGGAGCTCCTGGCAGCAGGGACCAACGCCACCATCGTGGACACCTGGGGCCGCACCGCCGGCGACTGGGCGCGGTTCCGCGGCCACGAGCGCGCCGCGGTGCTCCTGCCCGCCGGCGCCAGCGCCGGCGGGGCGTGCAGCTGCCGGAGTGCGCCGCCGGCCCCGGCGGCGGAGACGGCGTAGCCTCCCGGCGCGGCGCGGTGCGGCGCCTGCGGGCCGCTGGTGTGTCAGGACGCGTGTTCCCGCTGATGGCCCAGTGTGTGTCGACCCTCTCACTGATCACAGCGGACAGCTCAGCTGCACACCGCGCGCGGGACGGAGCCATGGGCACACGGGTCCCTCGATTGCTTTCTGTTTTAAATTTTTTAGGCTGATGCCGCACGGCACACGATCACTCGGGACTCTGCAAACTGCATGTTCCCAGCAACACGTGCCGCGCCCCTCGCCGCGGGCGCCCCCATGGGGCCGCCCGCGGCGGCGGCGCCCACGAGGGCTCCGGCCGCCCAGGTGGCCTCGTCGGCACATCCTCTGCCTAGCCGCGCGCTATTTCGGGCCGCCCGAGCCCGAGCCGCGACTCACCGTCTGCCGCACGCCCCCCCTGGCCTCTGGTTCCCGTTTTGCCAGGCCGTTCTGCCATGCTGCTTCCGAGTGCCCTGTATTTTTCAACGTCAGGCTCGGATTTGCCGGCTTTGACGGGGAACTCTGTGCCACCGTTTTGCCTGGGATGGGCGCCCGACCTTGGTGTGCTCACAGATGCTATGAGGTTCGGAGTATGCAGGGCAGCGAGGAAAACAACAAAAAAAATCACTCCGGTAGCCCCAGGGGCCCCGCGCCAAGCCCCATGCAGGAGATCTGTGAGCTTGGGGTCTGGGCAATTGAAAGAACACTCAGGGTTGAGGACTGTCCTCACTCCAACTCGTGCCTCAAGGGCACGGCGATAGACTTGTTATGAGCCAGCATGCCGTCGCGCATGTTTGCGCATGCATCTATTTTTGACGGTCAGAATGTGCATGGGGCGTGTGCCTTCAATGTCGACCTGAGCGTGGAGTAAGCCATGGGATGCGGTATTTGGTCATGACAAGCGTTATGGTGTTGCAGACGAGCGTTCGATTGCCATCCGTGGCCTGACATTGCACATCAATGGCGTCCTTCGAGCCCTTTTTGATTTCTTTGTAAGCAAACTCGTAGAGTGGCGGTCGAATGCAGCATGTGTGCGAAAGTCTTGCGTAATCTATCAATGAAGCGCATCCCGAGGTTCCACCTGTCTTTGCTAAGCCTGGTGATGCCCCGATACAAGTGCCAGGAGCGGCGCTGTTCAGCAAGGCATGAGCCAGCCCTCCTTTCCAGCAGTAGCATGTGCGCTGCGCGGTTTGTTCCAGGTATCTCTTCGTCTTGGTTGTTCACCCTCCTATTTTTTTTCCCCCATTCTTGGCAGAGTTCTCCGGCGCGTTGGAGCCCAAAGCTTAGAACCCGATGCTCCCGCATTTGTCGGCAGGCGGTGGTTACAACCCAGGCGACGGCCTGGCGGTCCCGGGAAACAACTTCATGGCCTGTCGGCGCTCCAGTACTTTGTTGCCGGTTCTCCGCCCGTTCCCCGCTGCATCTATGGTTGTTGCCGTGCTTTTGTATTGTGGTGCCTTGGGCATGCCTCCGGATGGTGGCTCCGCGTGCTTTGTTGTTGTTGTTGGTTTCGTAGGAATTTTAGCACAGCGCAACATAAAATCATTTTTCGCACCGTAGGCCCTTCAAATCGTCGTCGTCGTATACTAAGCTAGTTTCCACAAGATGTTACCACAAGAAGTCATTGAAACCATGCGCCAGTGTACTAGCCACGGTCGTCCGCATGCCACGAAGTGAAGTGTCCGAACGTCATAGGGCGGGAAGCTGGGTGTGGGTGGTGGCGAAGAGTCGTTTGGAAATGTGGTAGAGCTTGAACCGGCCCCCCCACAAAGTGGGGGTATTGGCGGGCGTCGTATGAAAACCCTGGCACTGGTGAGAACGGAGTGTCCCCACGTGCTAGTAATTGTTGTTGTTGTTGTTGTTGTTGTTGAACATTATTAATTCTAAAGAATAATTATTGTTGGGCCCCTGGTGCACGGCCCCCCTGCGCCGCCTAGGCCGCAGCTACATTTTCATCATTTTCGTGAGGAAGCCTCAGGTAAACGATGTGATCAAGATCCGGTTGTTTTGTTCCCCCCCGCTGTCCCTTGCAAAAAACACTATAAAATGAAATTTCTTGTTCTAAAATAACCAAACTTCAAGAATCCCTTGCAAAAAATAAGGTAAAGTGGACATTCGCGCGCGCAAGACGAAATCTTTCCAAAACCTTAGTGTTCGTAGCGATTTCAACATAAAAACATCAAAAAACCAATGTTTTTTAAAAAAAAAAAGTTTCAAAAAATCATCTTGCGCGCTCTTGCGGATTTCTGAGGAAACCCACTATTTTTTCAACATTTCTGTCAAACGGGCTCTTGCGAGCAACTTTTTCACGTGCTTCGAACTTCTGCAACAACGGTTGCGCGCATGCCAGGGCCATCATCCCTGTCAAATAATACCATATTGGACACATTCGTTTTTTCTTCGCGCGCGCACGCCGTCGTCGTCGGCCGCGGGGCCCTGAATAGTAGCCACGGTCGTCCGCATGCCACGAAGTGAAGTGTCCGAACGTCATAGGGCGGGAAGCTGGGTGTGGGTGGTGGCGAAGAGTCGTTTGGAAATTTGGTAGAGCTTGAACCGGCCCCCCCACAAAGTGGGGGTATTGCCCGCCTCCTATGAAAACCCTGGCACTGGTGAGAACGGAGTGTCCCCAGTCTAAGTGATTGTTGTTGTTGTTGTTGTTGTTGTTGTTGTTGAACCTTAATTACTAAACAATTATTATTGTTGGACCCCCTATATTCGCCCTGGCGCTCTCGCCGAGGCGCCGGCCGCATTTCCTCTGAAATTGAGGCTCACGCTCAGGCGTTTTGGGGTTCCGCCAAAACCGGCCCCCCAACAACAACAACGCTCCGGCTCGAGACTTCCTCCTTTTTTACTCGGGCTCGGTGCTCTTGCTCGCCGCCGAGAGCGGCTCCCGGGCCGGACGCCCGGGTCGGCGCCCGAGCCGGCGCCCGGGCGCCGGAAAATCGAGTTCCGAGGCGGCGCCGAAAAAAGGCCATTCCAATACACATTTTTCTTTCGAAAATGCTGAATTTCTGCTTCCGGCGCCCGGGAGGGAGGCCGTCCGGGCCGATTCCGGAGCTCGGGCCGGCACCCGGCCCGGCTCCCGGGCCGGACGCCCGGGTCGGCGCCCGAGCCGGCGCCCGGGCGCCAGAAAATCGAGTTTCGAGGCGGCGCCGAAAAAAGGCCATTTCAATACACATTTTTCTTTCGAAAATGCTGAATTTCTGCTTCCGGCGCCCGGGAGGCCGTCCGGGCCGATTCCGGAGCCTGGGCCGGCACCCGGCCCGGCTCCCGGGCCGGACGCCCGGGTCGGCGCCCGAGCCGGCGCCCGGGCGCCGGAAAATCGAGTTCCGAGGCGGCGCCGAAAAAAGGCCATTCCAATACACATTTTTCTTTCGAAAATGCTGAATTTCTGCTTCCGGCGCCCGGGAAGCCGTCCGGGCCGATTCCGGAGCTCGGGCCGGCACCCGGCCCGGCTCCCGGGCCGGACGCCTGGGTCGGCGCCCGAGCCGGCGCCCGGGCGCCGGAAAACTGAGTTCCGAGGCGGCGCCGAATTATCCCGGCAAAGCAACCTAACAACGATGTGTAGGAGCATACCTGGAAGCATCCCCCTTAAGATTCAGATGAGAATCCAGTTGTAGAGTTCTGCTGTTCTCGCAGTCGTAGTCGCATTCGCGATGACAGTCGCAGTGGCCTGCATTAGCCTCAGCCTCAGCCTCAGCCTGCCTCAGCATCAGCCTCAGCCTCAGCTTCAGCCTGCCTCAGCCTCAGCCTCAGCCTGCTCCTGCATCAGCCTCAGTCTGCCTGCAGCCTCGGCCTCAGCCTCAGCCTGCCTCAGCCTGAGCCTGCCTCAGCCTCAGCCTCAGCCTGCCTCAGCATCAGCCAGCCTCAGCCTCAGCCTCAGCCTCAGCCTCAGCCTCAGCCTTAGCCTCAGCCTCAGCCTGCTTCAGCCTCAGCCTTCAGCCTCAGCCTCAGCCTCAGCCTCAGCCTGCCTCAGCATCAGCCAGCCTCAGCCTCAGCCTCAGCCTCAGCCTCAGCCTGCCTTCAGCCTCAGCCTCAGTCTGCCTTCAGCCTCGGCCTCGGCCTCAGCCTCAGCCTCAGCCTCAGCCTCAGCCTGCCTCAGCCTCAGCCTCAGCCTGCCTCAGCCTCAGCCTGCCTCAGCCTCAGCCTCAGCCTGCTTCAGCCTCAGCCTCAGTCTGCCTTCAGCCTCGGCCTCAGCCTCAGCCTGCCTCAGCCTCAGCCTGCCTCAGCCTCAGCCTCAGCCTCAGCCTGCCTCAGCATCAGCCTGCCTCAGCCTCAGCCTCAGCCTGCCTCAGCCTCAGCCTCAGCCTGCTTCAGCCTCAGCCTCAGTCTGCCTTCAGCCTCGGCCTCAGCCTCAGGCTGCCTCAGCCTCAGCCTGCATCAGCCTCAGCCTCAGCCTCAGCCTGCCTCAGCATCAGCCTGCCTCAGCCTCAGCCTCAGCCTGCCTCAGCCTCAGCCTCAGCCTGTTTCAGCCTCAGCCTCAGTCTGCCTTCAGCCTCGGCCCTCAGCCTCAGCCTGCCTCAGCCTCAGCCTGCCTCAGCCTCAGCCTCAGCCTCAGCCTGCCTCCTCAGCCTCAGCCTCAGCCTGCTTCAGCCTCAGCCTCAGTCTGCCTTCAGCCTCGGCCTCAGCCTCAGCCTGCCTCAGCCTCAGCCTGCATCAGCCTCAGCCTCAGCCTCAGCCTGCCTCAGCATCAGCCTGCCTCAGCCTCAGCCTCAGCCTGCCTCAGCCTCAGCCTCAGCCTGCTTCAGCCTCAGCCTCAGTCTGCCTTCAGCCTCCAGCCTCAGCCTCAGCCTGCTTCAGCCTCAGCCTGCATCAGCCTCAGCCTAAGCCTCAGCCTGCCTCAGCCTCAGCCTGCATCAGCCTCAGCCTCAGCCTGCCTCAGCCTCAGCCTCAGCCTGCTTCAGCCTCAGCCTCAGTCTGCCTTCAGCCTCGGCCTCAGCCTCCTGCCTCAGCCTCGGCCTCAGCATCAGCCTGCCTCAGCCGCAGCCTCAGCCTGCCTCTGCCTCAGCCTCAGCCTCAATCTGCCTTCAGCCTCGGCTTCAGTCTCAGCCTGCCTCTGCCTCAGCCTGCCTCAGCCTCAGCCTCAGCCTGCCTCAGCCTCAGCCTGCCTCAGCCTCAGCCTCAGCCTCAGCCTGCCTCAGCCTCAGCCTCAGCCTGCCTCAGCCTCAGCCTCAGTCTGCCTTCAGCCTCGGCCTCAGCCTCAGCCTGCCTCAGCCTCAGCCTGCAGCCTCAGCCTCAGCCTCAGCCTGCCTCCATCAGCCTGCCTCAGCCTCAGCCTCAGCCTGCCTCAGCCTCAGCCTCAGCCTCGGCCTGCTTCAGCCTCAGCCTCAATCTGCCTTCAGCCTCGGCTTCAGTATCAGCCTGCCTCAGCCTCAGCCTGCATCAGCCTCAGCCTCAGCCTCAGCCTGCCTCAGCCTCAGCCTGCATCAGCCTCGGCCTGCTTCAGCCTCAGCCTCAGCCTGCATCAGCCTCAGCCTGAGTCTGCCTTCAGCTTCGGCCTCAGCCTCAGCCTGCCTCAGCCTGCCTCAGCCTCAGCATCAGCCTGCCTCAGCATTCAAAATGTGGCCAGGGAATGGAATTCTGGGAACTCGAAGAACACGAAGTGGCCTACAGTTTGCTCCGGGCATTCAAAATCATACCCAGGAATGGAGTTCTGGGAAGTCCAAGAGCACGAAGTGGCCTACAGTTGGCTCCGAGCATCCAAAATGTGGCCCGGGAATGGAGTTCTGGGAACTCGAAGATCAGGAAGTGGCCTGCAGTTGGCTCCGGGCATCCAAAATGTGGCCCGGGAATGGAGTTCTGGGAACTCGAAGAGCACGAAGTGTGTGACTGTTGCATCCGGCCCTCCAGAATGTGGCCCGGGAATGGAGTTCTGGGAACTCGAAGAGCACGAAGTGTGTGACTGTTGCATCCGGCTCTCCAGAATGTGGCCCGGGAGTGGCGTTCTGGGAACTCGAAGAGCACGAAGTGTGTGACTGTTGCATCCGGCCCTCCAGAATGTGGCCTGCGAATGGAGTTCTGGGAACTCGAAGAGCACGAAGTGTGTGACTGTTGGTGAAAAACGAGCGGGGCCCCCTGCCACCCGGCAACTCCCAACGCCTGCCCGGACCCCCCTGTGGAGTGATCTGTGAGCTCTTTTTACCCTACTAGAAACCTATCAGTCTTCGCTGTTAGGTAAAAAACGCCATTCCAATACACATTTTTTCTTTCGAAAATGCTGAATTTCTGCTTCCGGCGCACGGGAAGCCGTCCGGGCCGATTCCGGAGATCGGGCCGGCACCCAGCCCGGCTCCCGGGCCAGACGCCCGGGTCGGCGCCCGAGCCGGCGCCCGGGCGCCGGAAAATCGAGTTCCGAGGCGGCGCCGAAAAAGGGCCATTCCAAAACACATTTTTCTTTCGAAAATGCTGAATTTCTGCTTCCGGCACCCGGGAGGCCGTCCGGGCCGATTCCGGAGCTCGGGCCGGCACACCCGGCCCGGCTGGCACCCGGCCCGGCTCCCGGGCCGGACGCCCGGGCAGTTCCGATCGCGCCGAAAAGAGGCCATTCCAATACACATTTTTCTTTCGAAAATGCTGAATTTCTGTTTGCGGCGCCCGGGAAGCCGTCCTGGGCCGATTCTGGAGCGGCTTTGGGCCGGACGCCCGAGCCGGCGGCCGTACGTGGTGCTTCTCTGCTTCTGGCGCCTGCGCAGCTTCCCGAGCCGCTTCTGGAACCATATATGGGCCGGTCCAGCGATAGGTTTCCTGGATGTGCTGAGCCATCCAACTTTTTCGGACTTCTGCGTCTCAAGGATAGGGAGAGAAGACATTAAAGGAGGATCAAAAAGCAACGTCGCTATGAACGCCTGGCTGCCACAAGCCAGTTCTACTTACTTGGACTACTACTACCGTTAACAATACTACTATAGTGCTACAACCGCAACAACAATATCATCAACTGCTGCTACTACAACTACTCATCCATCCTCCCCCTCCTCCCCTTCCCTTCTCCTCCTCCCCCTCTCTATCATCTCTCTCATCTCCCCCTCCTCTTCCTCTTCCTCTCCCTCTGAGATGCGGGGCATGCGCAAGGCGATTGCGAAGGCGATGTGCCGTCCGAGCTATGGATGTTGAAGTTCCTCGGAAGAGGTGGTGGCCAAACCTTCTTGGGCGGGATATCTGGGTGAGGGAATATCGGATCCCGCATGCCAGAAAAATCCCCCATGATGGGGTGTGTTATCCAGATGGATGCATGTGTCATGTGGAAGCATGGCGCATGAGGGTAAAATGATTGTTGTTGTTGTTGTTGTTGTTGTTGTTGTTGAACATTATTACTTCTAAAGAATAATTATTGTTGGGGCCCCTGGTGCACGACCCCCCCGCCGCGCCTAGGCCGCAGCCTCATTTTCATCATTTTCGTGAGGAAGTCTCAGGCAAAACGGGTTGGTCCGGATCCGGTTGTGTTGTTACGATCGGTTTTCCCTTGCAAAAAATAAGCTAAAGTGGACATTTCTTGTTCTAACATAACCAAACTTCAAGAATCCCTTGCAAAAAATAAGGTAAATGGACATTCGCGCGCGCAAGACGAAATCCTTCCAAAACCTTAGTTTTCGTAGCGATTTTAACATAAAAACATCAAAAAACCAATGGTTTTTCAAAAAAAAATTGTCAAAATTTCATCCCGCGCGCTCTTGCGGATTCGTAGGAAACCCAACACTTTTTAATCATTTCTGTCAAACGGGCTTTTGCGAGCAACTTTTTCGAACTTCTGCAACAACGGTTGCGCACCTGCCAGGGCCATCATCCCTGTCAAATAATACCATGCGGGACACATTCGTTTTTTCTTCGCGCGCGCACGCCGTCGTCGTCGGCCGCGGGGCCCTGAATAGTAGCCACGGTCGTCCGCATGCCACGAAGTGAAGTGTCCGAACGTCATAGGGCGGGAAGCTGGGTGTGGGTGGTGGCGAAAAGTCGTTTGGAAATTTGGTAGAGCTTGAACCGGCCCCCCCACAAAGTGGGGGTATTGCCCGCCTCCTATGAAAACCCCGGCACTGGTGAGAACGGTGTGTCCCCACGTGCTAGTAATTGTTGTTGTTGTTGTTGTTGTTATTGTTGTTGTTGTTGTTGTTGTTGTTGTTTTTCTTGCACTTAGCTTTCGGCACCGCCTGATCCTGGGGCTTTGCCCTCTCTTGGCCTTGACGTGAGGCCCCTCCTTCTATTTTCCTTCCTCTGTCAATTAAAGCTGTGCGCGGCCCGCTTAGCTTCGACCGGAAGAGGCTCGCTCTCGACCCGCGGATCAAAAGTGTATGTGTTTTTTAGAGCACCTTGACCTTCTATGTGTCTTGGTATTGCATTATTTTTTTCCCTCAGCGTGCTTTGAGCTTACCGTCGCTCTGCTTCGAGCTCGCCTTCAGCTTGCGTGTACCTGTTTCGCATATTGCCTCCAACATGTCTTAGCCTTGATCTCACCTTCAGCTTGCCTTCAGCGCATCTTGTGCTTGCCTTTGGCTTGCTTGCAAACTACACCACTTTGTCTGCAACCGCCTCACATGCACCTCTAACCTCTTCTGCGCACCATCAGTCTTTGTCAGAATCAACTTGTTCAGCCCTGGATTCGCGGTCTGCGTGTCAAGGGTTTTTTTCGTGCAGACTGGACGTGTGTGCTCCTGCTGCAGCATGGCGCGTGGGAGGAGAGACCTCACGGATGGTGATCGTCTGGAGTTGTGAGAGCATGCGTTGAGCGGGCGTTGAGGTATTGGTTTGTTTTCCGCCCCTGGCAATACCACTTGTCCTCTGCTTGCTTGTCCGCTCCAGTGTTTTACAATCCCCCTCAGTTCAAGGCCTCCCGCTTAACTGCTGGCTTCACTTGCGTTTTCTAGCGTTCCCTTGTCCATGCCTCTTCAGCGCAAACCTAGTAGCGGGTACTTCAACAGTGCGCAGGACGGTGGCAGGAAAGCGGCAGGAACGCGCAACTCTAAAACGGGTTGACGCAGAAAAGTATCAGGAAATCGCCGAAGCGTCAATGAGGGTCCCTGCTCGTTTCTTTTGAACCTTCCTTTCCGCCCCCTGCTGACTCCCCGCCACCGCTCCTCCGAGATGTACCTTGCCATTTCTTTATTGTTATCCTTCTGGTCCTGGCGCAGAGCCCGCCCTGCTGCCCCTCTTCCGCTTTGCATTCTGCCCCGTCTGCCTCGTTCTGCTTCCGTTTGTGCTTCGGCCCCCGCCCCCTCCCGGATGCTGCCAGCTGCCACGGGTGACCTTGACCCCAGGAAGGATGCCCCCAGCTTTCCTCGCGAACTCGGAGCCCCTGGGGTCGGAGGGCACCAACTATACACCAACACCGATCCTGGCCCAGGATCACCCTGGGCCCAGGATCGATGTATATGCCTTCTTGCGCAAGGCAGGAGGGCGTATACACCAATCCTGGGCCCAGGGTGATCCTGGCCAGGATCGGTGTTGGGGTATAGTTGGTGCCTTCCTATGGGGGTCCTCTTAGGCGACGCGAGGGCTGTCTCGCTGGAGCGGCTGGGCTCTCGCTTTGGACCAGCAGGGCCACCCCTCGCAGCCCTCGGCCCCGGAGATCTGGGCCCCTCCCTCGACACCGATCCTGGGGTGCGTTGCGGCCAGACTCCTGGGGGCCCAAAGAATATGCACCACCACCACGTCGATTCCTCCTCTCTCCTCTGTCCAGCGAGAGGGAGGGGGGGAGGGAGGTGGTGGTGGTGTCTATTTTTTGGCCCCCCAAATCCTGAGGCGAACCCAGCCGTGGCCAAACTCTGATCAAGATCCAGAGCAGCCCTGAGCCGTGATCGCACGCAGCCCCCTCCATCCTCTACCGACCCACCTCCCTCGCTCCCTCTCCTGTCGGGTGTCGCTGGAAGTGCCCCCTGGCCCAGGGCTTCTCCTGGCTCTCCGAGGAGGCCCCCCGCGGCCTCCAGAGCACCCCTCGCGAGGCCCAGATGACCCCTACGGGCTCCAAAATCGAGCGAACAGCTGGGGGCACCTCGGGCCAGGGGCACACCTTTACGGTCGGGGCCCTGAAGAAGGAACCCTTTTGGTTGGGGAGGGGCTCCGCGTTCCTTACGTGTTTCACAGCATGCCTCAGGCTTTCCGAATGTTTCCGATAGGAAATCGAAGGTTAACTTATGGAAAAAAGGGGCCTCGTTCCTTATTTGGGGTTCCTTAGGTCAAGGCCCCGACTTCACCTAGCAACCTCCCACCGTGTCCGCCGAGGCCGGGCCGAGCGCCGGGCCGGAGCCCCCCGCCTTCGGCAAGCAGCCAGGGCCAGAGATCGGCGTGACCGTGAAGGGCGCCCCGCCGGCTCCCCTGCCCGGCCCGGCCGGCTTCGGCAAGGCGCCCTTCCAGGCCGGAGGGGGGCGGGGTCAGGGGCTTGGGCGTGACTTAACGGGGGGGTCACAAATGGGGGGGTCATAAAAGGTCCCCTTTCGTGCCCCTTTCGGGCCCCTCCGGAGCCCCAGGGGGCTCGTTTAGGTACCATTTGGGTACCTTTTCGAACCACCCTCGCCACCCCCCCATTTATGACCCCCCCATTGCGCGGCGCCCAAGGGGCGCCCTCCCGTCTGAGCAAGACTCGAGGCCTCCTAGACGGGGTCCGAGCAGGTGGGGTCGGAGGGTCGTAAAACGACGCGAAGATCGGGACAAAATCGGATCGGGATAATTCGAAATCTCTGAGAATCGGCGGGTTTGGAGGATGTATTGGGCGCCGCGGCCGCTCCAGGGCGTTCCGGAACGCTCTGAGAGCGCTCCGGAACGCTCTGGAGCGATTTATCCTGATCCTAGCCCTGTTTTGAAGACTCGAGGCCTCCTAGACGGTTGTCCGAGCAGGTGGGGTCGGAGGGTCGCGCCGGTGCACTGGCGAGGCGGCTCGCTGTGGAGCACGTGCTTCTCCACGCCGATGACGCCGACACATCGCCGACGTCAACGATGCATCGCTGGTGCAGCACCGATGCATCGCCGATGCATCGCCGACGCATCCGCGGTGCGGCGCGATCCTCCGACCCCACCTACAGTCGGCCCGCATTAGTAGGTCGACCCTGCCAGATCAAGGGTACCTTTGTGTCCCGTGTCTCGCGACCCGTGCCTCCTGCATTCCTATGGCAATGTGGCCCCCGGAAGGGCCTTTTGTCCTCTCGCGTGTCCTGTTCAATGAAGTCCGACTGTACTCCGAACCCATCCATCGACTAGACGTAAGAGTGACCTTTCGCCGGAGTGACCTTTGGTGCGGGCACAGATGGGTCCTCAGATGGCCGAACACGAAGCAGGAGCAGCGGCCTGCGCGCCCAGGTTTGGTCCCCCCCGCGGCCCCCCAAAACGCCGCGCACCAGAGGTCACTCTTACCCAGGGTCACTCTTATCACCACCCACCAAACCACCCCAACCCAACCTGAAGGCTCAGATTTACCCTCGATTTCCAGTGGGGGTGTGTCGGGAAACATCGAGAAAACACGTGTGGAACCCTTACCCCCCCCAACCCGAAATTCGAGTCTTCGGGTTGGGTTGGGGTGGTCTGGTAGGTAGTCATCTTACGTGCAGCCGAATCTGGGAGGCCTCAAGAGGCGGGGGCTGGCGGGGCCGCCCCCGTCTCTGCTCCGTCGGCCTCCGCCGGCCACCCGCCCCCGTCCCCCCGGCTCCTCGATCCCGCGGGGGGCGGGCCTTGCCTGAGAGCGCCCGGCACGGCGAGGGCAGTGGCCAGCGGGCGCAGAAGGGTATGGCACACAGTCGGGGCCTTGAAGAAGGAACCCTTTTCGTGGGGGAGGGGCTCCGCGTTCCTTAGGTTTTCCTTGGGTTTTCGACAGGAGATCGAAGTTTAACTTGTGGAAAAAAGGGACCTCGTTCCTTATTTTGGGTTCCTTAGGTCAAGGCCCCGACTGTATGACATACATGTTTTCCGTCGCCGAGGGGGCCCACCCCAGGGCGGCCGGAAAGTTTCTGCCTCGTCGTGCCGCCGTAGGGGTATCCTCTTTCCAGCGCCCTGGGGCAGGCGCCCCTCCAACGGCGAGCGAGTTTACTGTGTACCTTTCTTCGCCCGTCCGACTGGGTAAGGAGCCATTGGGTAGTGAAGCCAGGGCCTGGAAGCCGGTGGGACTCAGATCGTGGGTTGGCCATGGATATCCTCGCCGCCGTCATCGGAGCTCTCTATGGGGCCACGGAACGCTGCCCAGGGTGGGGGAAGCGCATGCGAGAGCAACCACTGGGGCCTTCGGTGGAGCTCCCTATGGAGCTACGAAGCGCTGCCCAGGGTGGGGGAAACGCATGCGAGAGCAGCCACTGGGGCCTTCGGTGGAGCTCCCTATGGGGCCACGAAGCGCTGCCCAGGGTGGGGGAAACGCATGCGATCCGCCAGGGTCTGAAGCCTCCTGAGCACACTCCTTAACCAACGCATCCACCGTGAGGGGGATCAAGTTTCGGGCTCGAGGCTTGCAGTCTTCGGACGCCTTCGTCGGCTCTCAGCGGCTTTCTGGTCTCGGGATGACTGCCGGCGGCTGCGCCTTGCCGAGGGCGTTCCGGGGGCGCGCGGATCGTCCCGAGCGGCCGCCGGAGGCCCAGGTCATGGCCCGGAAGCCATTATGCAGGGGACGGGTTCAGACGGCAGTTGTCCATCTGTGGGCTTCCCGTAACCGAATTTGCGAAACCCATCGGCCGCCAGATTCCCTAAGGGTTTCTTCTGGCCGATGGGTTTCCCATAGTTCGCGGGCCAGCGGGCAGTTGTCCATCTGTGGGCTTCCCGTGATTCCGAATTCCGGGGATCCCATCGGCCGCCAGGTTCCGTAGGGGTTTTTGGCGGCATGATTCGCAGGTCCTCGACCCCCAATCGCTATGGATCGCTGGCAGTTCCCCTGAGGTTCCCCCGCAGGGGGGGGGGCGGAGGGGCGGTGGGGAGGGATGTCCAGTGCCGACCCCAAGACCCCCGGCAGTTTTTGTGCTCGTGAAAGAGTTTGTGCGTTTTTCTAGTGGCCTTCGGCCTGTCCCGCTCAGAGGCCTCTTGGATACCTCTCGGGATCTCTAGGGAGGCCTCTCGGAAGCCTCTTGGAGGCAGTTTTGGGGCGTCTTGTAGCCTCTCAGGGGCCTCTCGGGGGCCTCTTTCGAGCCCCTTCGTGGCCTCTGGAGGCTTCTCGGGGGGCTCTTTGGGGCCTGCTGGCGGTCTCGAGGGTCATCTTGGTGCAGAGGGCTCGACATGTTAGCTCGTGTTCCCCCTCGTAGACCCTGTTGATGCCCTCTTGGGCCGACTTGTGGGCCTCTTGGGCCGTCTTGGGGCCCTCTTGGGCCGCCTTGGAGTGTCGGAAGCCCAGACATGCGAGAAAGCTAACATCTGTTCAGCACCATCGGGAAAACAGCGTTTCTCCCACTTGGGGCCCGTCGGGGGGTCTCTCGGAGCCCTCTTGGGGCGTCTTGGGGGCCTCCTGGGCCGTCTTGAGGCTATCCTGGGCGTCTTGGAGCGCTCTTGGGCCGTCTCTGGGCGCTCAGGGACCGCCTGGGGGGAACCTCCTGGGGCCTGGGGCCCTCTTGAGGGTTTGGGGGTTGTTTTGGGTCGGCTCGGCGCCCAGAGGCTTCGAGGGGAGGCTCCTCCTCGTCCTCCTGCCCCTCATCGCTCCCCCCAGGGCCCCACCGACAGCAAGGCGGCGCCCATGGACGGCAAGTCGCAGCCCGTGCCCTTCGGCGACGGCAGGGTGCCGCCCGTGCCTTTCGGGACCAAGGCCGCGCCCGTGCCGTTCGAGAGCAAGGCCGCGCCCGTGCCGTTCGAGAGCAAGGCCGCGCCCGTGCCGTTCGAGGGCAAGGCGAAGCCGATGCCCTTCGTAGACGGCAGGGCGCCGCCCATGCCCTTCGGAGACAGCAAGGCGCCGTCCATGCCGCCCATGCCGTTCGAGAGCAAAGCATCGCCCAAGCCCTTCGGTGACAGCAAGGCTCCGCCCATGCCCTTCGGCGACAGCAAGGCTCCGCCCATGCCCTTCGGCGACAGCAAGTCGGCGCCCATGCCCTTCCCGGGGAAGGGCGACGGCAAGGGCGTGGGCGACAGCAAGGCGGCGCCCATGCCCTTCATGGCGAAGAGCATGGACCAGAGCAAGTCGGCGATGACGGGCCCGCCCAGTGGCATGCCGGGCCCGCCTGCTGGCATGCCGGGCCCGCCCAGCGGGATGCCGGGCCCGCCCGGGGGGATGCTGCCGGGCCCGCCGGGCGGGATGCCACCCAGCGCGACGGCGCCGGGTGCTGGGCCGCCCGACCAGCTCGGGAGCAAGGCTGCCATGGGTGGCCCTCCGGGCGGCATGGCGCTGCCTGGCACCACGCCGACCGGCAAGGCGGCCATGGGCTTCGGCAAGGACGGGCTTTTTTTGTAGGGAGCGAGCAATTACACATGAAAACTCCGAGGTCCGCGCGGATTTCTCGGATCGGCGCTGGAGACCCCTGGCGGCGCCTCCCTGGCGCGCTCCGCGCGCCAGGGAGGGTGGGTCCCGGGCGGATCCGAGACATCTGCGCGTACCTCCGAGTTTTTTTTTAAATGTTTATGCCATGGTTCGTTTCTCTATATCTTTTGTCTGCGTGGGGTCTTCTTTCAAGCAGTGGCGAAGCGTCCTGGCTCGCCTATAGCCCTACCAAACAGTGTTCTCAGAACCTTTTGTGGTTTCCACGGAATGTTCTTAGAACATTTCTGGCGGAGTCTGTCTTGTTTTATCACATGGAAGTTCTGGCGGCACAGGAATCTTGTACCGCCTGCCTGTGCCCAGAGCCCCGCGTTGGAGATCCCACTGTGCGAAGCTTTGGAGCTGGTCGTCGAGCCAGGGTCAGTACGTCTCGGCACTTCGCGTGGGGTCTCCGGAGGCCTCTGGGGGTCTACGGAAGTCCCCAGGTTCTCTGGGGGTCCCCGGCACACTGGTCGTGGCAGGGGCTTCGCCTCGTCGCTATACTTCCTGCTGCCGCGCCGCGACCAGCTCTGGCTCGAGTCGATGTTCAGGAGGCCTCCTGGGAGCGTCTGGTCGACAGGGGGCCGAGCAGCCGTGCTCAGGTCAGCGTGAGGTGGCCTGGACGGGCTTTACTTTCGCACCCGGCGCGCCCGGCTGGATGAAGGCAGCGGTCCATGGGCGGCCGCATCCGGGGGCCACACGTGGGGGGACACCTTTCACAATTTTCTGTCAAGTAACGAAATAACGGAATCAACAGAAATATGAAACGTCGATTTACGTTACGAACGAAAACGGTCTATTTTCATCGAAAAAACCTCACCGTGGATGAAAGCCACTCTTGAGGGCCACGCGTAGGGCGTCCCAGAAGGGGCATCGCCTCCGAGGGGCCGACAGGCCGACACCTCTTTTTTAGGCGGAAGGCGGCGGAGGGCCGGCGGAAGCGAAGCGGCAGCAGGTCCGGCGGCGGAATCCGTCGGCAGGCCGGCGGAAGGCGGCGGAAGCGAGCTCTTCCCTCCAGCAGAAGATGTAGTTCTTTTTTCAGGAGGAAAAGAAACACACAGACACAATTAATCCTCGATTCCCCAGAAAATGTGGGAAAATATGGGAAGTGGTTGGGAAGACAGAAACCCAGAAAATATAGGAAAATATGGGGAATATTTTTATTTGTGTGTATTTATTTGTGTGTCCTGGGGCCCCTTCATTTTTGTGGCTTGCAAGTCGGGCGTTGCGCAACCCGCCACGCCACACGGGGGCCGCACTTGGGGGCCGCACTTGGGACCGAGCATCAGGCGATCGCAAGCATGGATCAAGGGGGCGTGGATTGGCGACGGGTCCCGTTTCCATGGGAAATCGCTGACTTTTCCGACGCCGAACGATGTGGCATGGGCCGCATTTTGGGGAGGGCACCTCCCCCGATCCCTGGACTTGGCGACCGCGCGCCAGATCCATGGATCGCCAATCCATGTTTGCGCGCCCCCGAAGGCATCACCCCCGCCTGGCTCTCGTACCTCCGGCGCCTTCTCCCAGTGCGGCTTTGCGTGAGTCAGGAGGGGAACAAAAACACACAGACACCAGCAATCGTCGCTGCCCAGGGAAATGTGGGAAAATGTGGGAAGCGGGTGGGGAGACGAAAATCCAGAAAACATGGAAACATCTGGGGAATCCTGGGATTTGTGCGTATTGTTTGTGTGTCCTTGGGCCCCTTGAGTGAGGGGTTCTTCTTCGTCTGCCGTAGCTTCAGCGGCCACTCAGCCACGCGCAGAGGGGGGTGGGGGGAGGGGGGAGGGCTCCTTAGAAGCACCCCTGCTTCTTAGAAGGCGCGGGCCTTGTCTGTAGATGTAGTCAGAGCGTGAATTACCTACCCCGCTTTCGCTTCCAGGCAAAACCAAGTCATATCACGCGCCTCCTCGTCAAGCGGCCTGACCAGCACAGGCCGTGGTTTGGCATCGCTTAGTATCTCTTGGAAGCGAGGGTGGTCAAAAGCGAGGTAGGTTTGTTTGCCCCCAATGTAGGCGCCTTTAAGGTGCAGCCTCCTTCTAAGAAGCCCTCCCCCTCCCTCCACCCCCTTGCGCGCGCCGCCAAGCCACGGCGGCCGCTCCTCTGCCTGGGCCGTGGTTGCAGTGGCACGCCCGCTGCCCAGACAGAGGGGGGCCGCCAGGCAAGCCGAGGGGGCCCGAGGGGTGCAGAGTGTCTGGCCTGCATCGCAGAGCGGCTCTGCGGTGGACACCCCCTGCATGCTGATGCTGCACGGGGGTCCTGCAGGCATGCAGGGCGAGCGCGGAGATGTGCGGATGCTGGCACAAAAAGCGGCCACAAGGGCGGTATCCCGAACCCTTATTTCATGCCCTCGCCGAGTACCGGAGCCGGAAGCAGCACAGGCGCCAGGGGTACAGTTCGAGCTTGCTCTTCCCGACTGCTGCGTGTGGCTGCACGTCTGAGCACGCTTGCTATAAGCGGAGTGCGGATCTGATGTTCGTTATGACATGTGGGATCAATAAGTAGGGGTTCGCCCTCTGCCGCCCCCCCCCCTCCCTCCGATCGAGTCGTGGCCTGATTGCAGGCGCGAGATCTGATGTGGTCGGTAACTCTTGCCTTGATTCTTCCACAACGTCGTATTCAATTTGTGACGTCGGAGACTGATGGACCCGCCCAGCGAGATGCTTCTACTCCTGTGCGTGGCGGATGGGAAATTACTCAGAAAAGCATGCGGTGTACGACTCGATATTTCCGGCCCCCCAGGGACTTGCTGGAGCGCTTCTCGGAGGAGTCCTGATGGCTTCGTGGGGCCTCGTGCGCCCTCTTTGGGACACCCTCAGGTCTCCTTGGGGCCTTTGGGCCGTCTGGAGGCCGTCCCTTTCTTTCACAATCGCACACTATGAATACTACTCTCCTCTCTCACCAGGTGGCGTGCGGGAAGTGTTCGGCACCCTTCTACGTACTGCTTTCGGATTCACGGGAAACGGATTTTTTTGTCTTGTTGTCAAAATGCTGCTCTCGCTGAAACGCTGGCCTCATTCTCGGGATACTGCTCGTTCCGAATCGTGCTCCCGCTGCAGCGCGGACCTCATTTCCGCGCTTCCGCTCGTTCCGAATCGTGCTCCCGCTGCAGCGGTCAGGGATGATGACGAGAAAGAAGCAGGAGGAGGGGGAGGAGGAGAAGGAGGAGGAGGAGGAGCAGGAGGAGGAGCAGGAGGAGGAGGAGCAGGAGGAGGAGGAGGAGCAGGAGGAGGAGGAGGAGGAGCAGGAGGAGGAGGAGGAGGAGGAGGAGGAGGGAGGAGGAGGAGCAGGAGCAGCAGGAGGAGGAGGAGGAGGAGGAGGAGGAGGAGGAGGAGGAGGAGATAGCAGGAGGAGGAGATAGCAGGAGCAGGAGCAGGAGCAGGAGAAGCAAATGGAAGGGGGGGGGAGCAGGCTCACAGCGTTGGTCCACCGGACCGGGAAAACACACAATCATCAGCATGTGTTTCTATACCTCCATGCCGGCGATCCAGGACCACAACCGCTTCTTTCGAAACGGGAGAGGATGACGAACGAGGAGGAGGATGATGTTGGAAAAGGTCGAGTGACCTCTTGATTCCATCTTTAGGCGTTTCTGGTTACTTTTGCTGTCGCGTCCTTGCGTTTCTCTTTTTGGGCGCTTTTCCTACCGCGCCCTCTTGTCTCCACTTCTGTGTGCTTGTGCTTACTCTCGCTGCCGCGCCCTTCTCCCTTTTGTTTTCACTTTCGGGTGCTTCTCTTTGTTCTCGGTGCCGCGCCCTTCTGTTTCCATGCTCTTTTTTGTTCTTTCTACGGCGCCCTTTTGTTTCCACTTCTGGGTGCTTCTCGTTACTTTTGCTGCCGCGCCCCTTTGTTCCCACTTTTGGATTCTTCTGGTTCCTCGCGTTGCCGCGCCCTTTTGTTGCAACTCTTGGGTGCTTGGTTCTTCTCGTTGCTCTGGCTGCCGCGCCCTTCTGTTTGCAATCTTGACGCTTCGAGTATCCACACCAGCCCATCCAAAAACGATGCCCAGGCGAATTGCGGTGATCAGGGAAGTGAGGGAGCATACAGAGTAGGAAAGGGCTGGGGGACCCGTCTTACCCAAGAGGGCGAGGATGGAGGAGGAGTCGGAGGAGGATGAGGAGGAGGAGGAGGAGGAGGGGGAGGAGGAGCAGCAGGTGGGAAAAGTGGGAGGAGGGAGGAGGGAGGAGGGGGAATAGGCGGATGATGAGGAGGAGGGGGAGGAGGAGGAGGATAAGGAGGGGGAGGAAGCGAAGAGGAAAGGAGGAGGAGGAGGCTGATAAAGTGGAGGAGAAGGAGGAGGAGGAGTAGGCCGACAAGGAGGAGGAGGAGGAGGAGGAGGAGGAGGAGGAGGAGGAGGAGAAAGATGAGAAGGAACAAGAACAATGACGTGCACAAGAGCCTCCTAGGATGTCCCTTGGAAGTTGTCTTGGAGTCCTCTTGGAGCGCCGGGGGGATTCTTGGATGCCTCGGGGATCCTCTTGAGGCCTCTTGGGGGTCTAGGGAGCCTCTTGAGGGCCTCTTGGGGACCTCTTGGGGCCTCCTGGGCGCCTCTTGAGGCCCTCTTGGGGCGCTCTTGGGAGCCTTGGGAGCGCTCTTGGGGCCATCTTGGAGGTGATCGATCAAAGGAAGGGGGTCCCCCAATTAGCGCCCCCCCTCGGGAGCCTCTAAAATCGCCTCTTGGACCCCTCTTGGGACGCTCTTGGAGCGCTCTTGGGTGCTCTTAGGGCCGTCTTGCGGCCATCTTGGGCCCCTCTTGGGGCCCTCTTGGGCCCTCTTGGAACCATCTTGAGGCCTCGAATGGCCATCAGAAGCGAAAAGGCGAGAAAGCAAAACACATTAATTTTCCCCAGGTTTTGGAGCCATTTTGGCCTCTTGGGGGGCCTCCTTGGGAGGCTACGTGGCCAATTGGAGTCGTCTTGGGGCGGTCTTGGGGCCTTTTGGAGCATCCTCGGGGCCATCTTGAGGCGTCTTGGGCTGTCTTGAGCCATCTTGGAGGTCATCTTGGGCTCTCCGAGGCCCTCTTGGAGCCATCTTGGGCCATCTTGGACGCTCACAACTACCAGCGAACCCCCCCGTCCAGGTCCAGGGGAGGGGGTTAGGGGGAGGGGTAAACCCCTCCCCGAAGGGGAAGAAGGGCAGACGGAAGAGGAAACTCCCTGAACCACCTACGCCCAGAGGGCTGGTGAGACTTTTGGGCGTTTGGTCTACAGCTCCCTCGTGGTGTTAATCGTTGCTCTCGCTGCCGCTCTCTTCTGATTTCGCTTCTGGTTGCTTCTACGTACTGCGGCTCCTTCAACATGTTCGTTCGCATTGAGCGGTTCTGGGTATAGTCGCCACATGTTTAGTAAGGGTTGGGTACGTCCCCGGGTAATTTTTGATTGCCACGGGGCCCAACAGCGGGCCCCTGGGGCCCAAGTCGAGGAACAACGCTCAGGTTGAACAAGTCATAGTGTCGGAGATCCGGAGCCAATCCCTGGGCGAATCCAGCCGTGGCGACGAGGGCCTCCAGGAGGCGCGAAAAGGCGAACACGAGGAAAGTGGAGCGGGCATTGGGTAGGGTAGCAATGACGGGCTTTTGGGGCCGAGATCGAGGAAAAACGGCCGAGTTGAACAAATCATATTGTTGGAGATCCGAGCCGCGGCTGACCGCGGAGCCAAGCCCTAGGCGAATCCAGCCGTGGCGACGAGGGCCTCCCAGGAGGCCCAAAAGGCGAAAACGAGGAAAGGGAAGCGGGTAGCGGGTAGGGTATCGATGACGCGCCCCAGGAACTGAAATCTAGGAGAAACGCCCGGATTGGACAAGACCACATCGTCGAAGATCCGAGCCGCGGCTATGCGTCCGGACCAGAATTTCGAGGCGCAGCTGGTAGGGTAGCAATAATGTGCCCCTGGTGGCCGAAATCGAGGAAAAACCTCGGGAGTGAACAGAATCATACCGTCAGACCTAGATCCCCGACGTCACCCCAGAGGTCTCGACCCCTCCCCCAGGACTGGCTCCTCATCCCGAGCCGTTCTCTGGCGGTCCCGGAGCCTGGCGAGGGCCCCTAGGGGCCGAAGATTGAAACGCGTCCGTCGTGCTTTTTGTCCATGGCGCGAGGGGGTCTCGGGATACAGTCGGGGCCCTGAAGAAGGAACCCTTTTGGTTGGGGAGGGGCTCCGCGTTCCTTAAGTGTTTCGCAGCTTGCTTCAGGTTTTCTTTTTGTTTTCGATCGGAAATCGAAGTTTAACTGATGGAAAAAAGGGGCCTCGTTCCTTATTTAGGCTTCCTTAGGTCAAGGCCTCGACTGTACAGTCCTCGGAAAAGAATAGCGAACACTCATGCCACAGTCATCGGTCACCGCCTTCCCCTCCCCCCAATGTTCGAAGTTGGCGGTGGGCCTGATGAGTTGCACGTCGACTTCGGTCTCCTCCGCGCGTGCCAACCTTGGAGTTTTGGGGAGGGGGAGTGCCCCCCTAACGTGGGTTGATGGTCCGAACTCCCCAGGGGGTCGCAATCACGCACCGGCGTCGGGGAGGCTGCTCTTCAAAAATCCGCCCCCCCAGGCCCAGAAACTGTTTTTTTCAATCGTGCCCCTCCCCCTTCTTCCAGCCGCGGCCCCCGACGGCCGACGGGGCAGACGAGGCCGACGGGCCGAAGATTCTCAGAGTTTTTAAATCATGAGCCCACATTCGTCGTCGTGGTCGTGGTCGTGGTCGGGGTCGTGGTCGTCGTCGTCGTCGTCGTCGTCGTCGTCGTCGTCGTCGTCGTCGTCGTGGTCGGGGTCGTCGTGGTCGTCGTCGTCGTCGTCGTCGTGGTCGTCGTCGCCGTCGCCGTCGTGCGTGCCCGCCAGCCAAGGGCCGTCGGCGGCAGCGGCCGGCGCCCGGGCACGCCGAGCGCCTCCTCCTCGTCCTCCTCCTCCCCCCCCCTCCTCCCCCCCCCCTCCCGCTCCCTCCTCCTCCTCCTCCTCCTCCTCCTCCTCCTCCCTCTCCTCCTCCTCCTCCTCCTCCTCCTCCTCCTCCTCCTCTCCTCCTCCTCCCCCCCCTCCCCCTCCCCTCCCCCTCCTCCTCCTCTCCTCCTCCTCTCCTCCTCCTCTCCTCCTCCTCCTCCTGCCACGACTTGCCGTGGGCGCTCGAGCGGGCAGCGGCAGAGGGGCAAGGGTAGCTTGACCAAGGGACCTCTGGGGACGCTCTCGCCTCCTCCTCCTCCTCCTTCCTCCTCTTTCCTCCTCCAGAGGCAGGGGTCGGGGCTCCCGGGGGCAGCGATGGTGGGGGGGGGGGATGGGCAGAGGTCGGGCAGTGGCGGGGCGTCCTGGCTCGCCTCACAGAGCCCCCCTCGCGCTGCGAAGAAGTCACGACGGGAGGTTGTCTTCTGCTACTTTCGGCCGAGGAGGAAGCGGAGGAGGA